TGTGTGTATGTGTGTCTGTATGTATGTGCGTAAATAGTATACATATGTATGTATGTCTAGACATATGTGCATCTGCACATACATATGTTTGCGCAATACATCTGCTGCTATTTACGCTTAAATCAATGAGCAAATCAAGGACTAGATACATTAATTCAACATAAACATATACATAACAACATGTATGTATATGCATGCATGCATGCATGCATGCATACATACATACATACATACATACATACATACCTACATACATACATACATACATACATACATACATGGATGCAGGCATATATACATATTGTACACACATACCACTGGAGTCTGCGGATGCCAAGGCTCCTCTACAGGAGATGGCCGACACTATGCTCTCTCGCAAGATGCACAGGCGGCGGCCTACAGTTTGTGTACGTGCTTGTGTAATAGTCGTTACTATCTAAGGTTTTTCTATGTTTAGGGTTTGATTGGGGTTTTGGTTTGTTTAGTGTTCAGAGTTTGCTGTAGAGTTTGTCATGACTTGCAGACCAATTTCGCAGTGGGGTTTGAGTGTTTACCGGTTGTGGAGCCTCTTCAATTCGCATAGAGAAGTCTACAGGGTATCTAGCAGGGCCTTAGGGAGGTTTCTGCAGGCATGCACATTGAATGAATAATCCGGTTTATGAGGGTTCAGGCAGCTTCCGTTACTTTCGGGGGTTCTAGGGCAGAGGGTTGTGATGATTGACCTTTAAACGGCTTTCATGGGCTCCCCCTGTGCCGGCGACCGGTAGCATGTAAGGTGTTGCTCTAGGCAAAGGGCCTGCCTAGGGTTTACGGTTTAGGGTTTAGGGTTCAATTTCCTGGGAATCCGAAGTGTATCCACATCAGGCTATTGCGGGTAACTGGTTTGTACAGCTCGAATCTGCAACCAGGGGCAATCTAACTTTAAATCATCGTCAGCAAATCATACATCCAGGGGCTTCTACTTAGGGGCGATAACAGGTGGGCGCTGTTACACTTCGTCAGCCAAGAGGTTCAATCGCGTCAGTGTGGATATTCCTTTAGTTGCATTGACTGCATGAGCCTCCGGCATCTCAAGATGCCAAACCTTACCGAAAGCAAGCCATTGGCGACAGGAAGTGGACGTGTTTGTCAGTGACTTGGAGGAATATGGAGGTTGCCGCATGGGTGTCCCTTCCCAAGGGTTCTGTGTGAGGGGGCAATACTTACATAAACCAGTACATAAATCATAGCAGTAGTTCTTAATATGAAACTTAGTTTCTCGTCTGAGGGTACTTGGGACGTTTCCGACAACCTTAAACTCTATACATCCTACACCCTATAAAGCCCTGTAGTAGCCCTGACAGTAACCAGTATTCGGTACTTAACACTTAATGTAGGGTCCTAAAGCGGCCTACATAATTACCAACACTATTTTGGGTGCTCCTTATTACAATCATAGTATAAAATACCTCAGAACCCATTCGTATATTAAGGCCCCTATGTTAGGGGGCCTTTCGTCTGTCCCATTAAAGCCTCAAAGATCTCAGAGCATCGAACTTCACGGGGAGTCCCTTCTCCAGAAGGTGTTCCTGTGGATCCCACGAGCTATTGAGGGGTTACCTGGACCCTGAAAGTATGTAGAATAACGGCGCTGTGTTTAATGGGTTTTGGGCCATTCTGTCACCTACTTTTTTGGGGGGTTAGGTGTGGTTTAGGGTTTAGGTTTTTGGGTGCAGGGTCCGATAACCTACTATTTCTTGCAAGGTGTGTGGCTACAGTTTCGGCTTGGTGGAGCAAACCCCCATGAATCCTTAAACCCCAAACCCTTCAGTAAGTAGTATATGCCGTATGAACCGTTTGTATAAGGACCATATGTGAAGGATCATATACCTTATCCCTAGGGCTTGAAGGGCTCATATTTCAAGGTTTTTGGTACCGAGGACCAAACTACATCAGGTTTCTGGCGAATGTTGAGCCTTCGGGTTATGTATAAACCAGATCAAGGATCACTATATAACGAGTTTTTGAGTCGCCCAAGTGCTTGGGAAGGCCCCCCGCGTCAAGGAGCCTACCAAAGTTTCCCTTTTAGTTCCTGGCTCTGCCTAGCGAAGCTTTATGGTTCGGATGAAACTGGTAGACCAAACACGGAACTACAGGAAATATCAAGATCCCTAAACCCTGAACCCAAAGCCCTTAAGCCCCTAAACCCTAGCCGCTGAGCACCCAAGCCCCTGTTTTGATCCCCATGAAGGGATAGGGCATTGAGAACCAGGGGTCGGCACTAGAGCTTTTCGGACAAGGGAGATACTGGAGAAGTTTAGGGTTTAGGGTTTAGGGTTTTTTCGGACAAGGGAGATACTGGAGAAGTTTAGGGTTTAGGGTTTAGGGTTTAGGGCTTAGGGTTTAGGGTTTAGTGCTTAAGGAGACAGTCTTCTCCCATAATAGTTCCTATACATTTGTGTTGTGATTTGGCCCAGCACCTTCTTAGAACTGTTAAGGCCGCGATAGGCACCCCGTATCACCGTATTTTTTCAGGACATATGCAAGGAACTCCATAATGGGAATCACAGTCAGGAACCCCAAAACCCTAAACCATCCTAAACCCTAAGCCCTCATGCCTAACCCCTACACCGGATGACCCCCAGAAGGCAAGACAAAAGCCTAAAGAATCGCCAATATTATTCCCTAGGGCTCCATATTTATAGATACACAATAAAGGAGCCCCAAACCCTGTTCTAATGATTAAGGCCCCTACATTATGTTATTCCCTAGGGCTCCATATCTCTAGATATACAATAAAGGAGCCCCAAAGCCCCATTTCAGTTATTGAGGCCCCTAAACCCTAAACCGTAAGCCCTGAACCCTAAACCCTTATAGATCCCTTTAAGGCCCCTACATTAGGTCTTTCCTTGGTTTCCCAGAGCTCGAGACGAGGCCACAGTTGGTCGCCTCCAGATGATTGGGAAGATCGCATGGGGCAAGGCGCAACCCGAGGTTCAGGGGTTCAGGGTTTAGGGTTTAGGGCGGTTTAGGGGTTTAGGGTTCAGGGGTTTAGGGGTTTAGTGGTTGAGGGGTTTAGGGTTTAGGGCGGTTTAGGGTGTAGTTTTTCCCGCTAAACCCGACACCCCCCAAACCCGAAACCCTACACCCCCCGCAAATCCTGAAAACCCCCTAAACTCTCTAAATCCTAAGCCCTTTGCTTTTTTCAGGGTGGAGTTTAGGTTGAGGGCTTCGGGTTTAATTAAATAGCTTTAAGTGTTTTGGGGCTGAGTGGGTCTAAGATGTTGTAAGTATGGAGTCATATCATGTGCCCTTAAAAAGGGGGTTGCATCCACAGTATCCGCCTTTTCACGAAGCCCTTTGAACGTTTATACACCGACTACAAGTGTTGATCCCTTCTTTATCTGCGTCTGCCTCCTTCCTGTCGATGCTGTCAGGTGTGGATTATTCTGAGATCAAGTCGACTACGCTGGCCGTCATGGCCAAGGTCAGAACCCAGGGAAAGAGAGGGGTGGCTTCAGGGATTGATCGGCTTACCCCAGACTTCTGGCATGCGGGTTCGTTTGAGTGACACGGTTTCAAGTTAATACAGAGGCCTAAATGACCAATCTTGTTCCCTGGGGCTCCTTATTATATTCATACTGTAAAGGAGCCCAAAACCGTATTTCATGCTGTGAAGGGGCCCCCAAAACCCTGTTCTAATTATTAAGGCCCCTACATGAAGCAGCTTTGAGGCTGCTGTCCTTATCAGGTTTGCACACCAAGGTTCAGGGTGCACTGTCAGGATGTACGACAGGCGTAGCATTGCGTTTAGGGGTTTAGGGTTTAGGGTCTCCAGCTACCCTTACCCTCAAAGGACTGATATTTTAAGGATTTTGGGCCCCAAGACACTATTATATATGAGGCTTTTGGGCGATGTTGATGCTAAGGATTAGGGTGAGGGTGATGCTACAACCAGTATCTTCAGCTGGGACAGTAATGTTTGCATTCTCCCCCGCACCCTGAAACATCCAAGCTCTAAGGACTACGCACAAGAGCACCGCACTTTGGCTGACTGGGGCAACACCTCCTTCTGGATCGACAAGGTGCCCTCCTCCAGCTCGCATGGCACCGAATTATTCTTTGGCTTGGTGTTTATGGATGTTTATGGCCTAGGGCCTAGAGTTTTTTGGGACTTCGTAATTAGATAGCTACAGGGTTCAAGTAGAATGTCGGGTGTTCGGATTTATGAAGGAGTTCTATGTGGAAAAGCCTGGATGTAGCTTTCGAGTACGTAAGGGTGAAGGTGTCGCCTAAACGCTAAACCCTAACGAACCCGGCGCTGAAGCAAACTGGGGTCCGAAGCAAAGAACTGATTGATGAGTTAGTCATAATAGGGAGTCTTAATAAGCAAACTGGGGTCCGAAGCAAAGAACTGATTGATGAGTTAGTCATAATAGGGAGTCTTAATACAGGTTAGGCTCTTGAATTGGAAGGTTTAGCACATCTCCATCACCGCCTTCGAATGTAAGTGATAAGGGTAGTTTTCTACACTACGGCCCCTCGTAGTTAGGCTCCTTTTTACGAGGGTGCAGTACTCATGTGGGGACTCAACAAGGGACCCTAATTTCGAGAACTACCCATAAACAGACTTGAACCCGACCCAAAGCCTTGAACCCTAAACCTCAAATGCTCAAACCTGTCTGGAGGCTTGCATCCACCAAGACATTCCCGAGTTGAAATCGCAAGCCGGCGCTGAAATCTTGGAATAGTGGTGGCTTTTGGCCTTAGGGCTGGGTTTTGGGTCAGAATCCAGGAGTAGAAAACGTGAGGCAAAGGTTTGGGGGTTATGGTTGATGCCAAGCCCTCCTCTCTCCGTCGACCTGCAAAGCACAAGCTCGTGGCACTGACACTGACCATGTTCGCTAGAGACAGTCCAACAGGGTCCATATGCGTTGCCTCTGCGGAACCAGGTTCCAACAAGACTACCCGTCGTTGTGTTCGACTTGATTCCCGAATGACAAGAGAGCTGTTGGGATGGTTCAGGCCCATTCAGGTGTTTCAAGGTGAGAAGTGTCCGTATGTTGACAGGTTGTTGAGGAAGAGTTCTCCTGGCTTTATGAGCTGTCAATCCCCACTCCTCATGACAGATCCTAAACTCCAAAAAGACACGAGGCTTGCTCCTGTCAAACCTCAAAAGCCCCTCCAACAACCCTAAACGCTACCCTAAACCCTACACCAAATGCATAATGTAGGGGCCTAAATAATTACCTATACTATTTTGGTGTGTTCCTTATTATGATTATACTATAAAGGAGCCCAAAGCCCTATTCCAATTATCAAGGCCCCTACAGTTATGCCGACTTAGTCAAGGTTGGGCATCGGACTGCTAGAAAAGTTTCTGGAGAAGTGCGACACGATGTGCCTGGGCCGGGTTTCGAGTGCCTGCAGCAGGACTCCAACGGTTTAGGGTTTAGGGTTTTCCCCTAACCTAGCATCAAAACAGCACAAAAGCCTCATATAATAGGGTCTTCGGGCCAAAAAACCTTAAAATATGAGTCTTTAGAGGGCAAGGGAATGGGTTTGGGGTATAGGGTTTAGGGTTAATGACGGGGTCCGAATAAATAGCTCAATATTGCAACCATGCAGCAACATACCCCACAACCCTATTTTCAATTTAAGTTTTGGGCCGGAGACCGCTGAGACAAAGAGCACCCGAAGAAGCCCAACTACCTATGTGTATTTGCATGTATTGTGCAGCTAGACGTCCAGCAGCCAATCCTTTCGTGTTCTATACCGCAAAACCACGGAACCCTACCTGGACTCCGAGTTCCAAAATCCCTACCGACAGGCTCCGATGTACTTATGTAGTGGTTTGCAGTTAGGGTTTCTATATTCGGAATTACTATTATGATTTAAGCAGGTATCGCCCATCTGCACAGGACCCTTTGGTCTAGCCAAACCTTATAATACAAGCACGCTCCCGGAAGAACAGCTACTACAAGTCAGGGTCTATAGCAAGCAGAAGCGACAGGCACAAGAGAGCGGATTCTAAGTGTTAGTTTTTGCACCTTAACCTTTGTTAGCGTCATGGTTCATTCAACTTCTACCTTAACCTACCAGAGCCTACTTTTTTGTAGGGTCCCTATAAATTCCATATTAGGGTTTTTAATAAGAACCTACAAAAGAGTGGGGTTTGGTAGTTTAAGGTATAGTGTGGTGTTACGATTAACAGCCAGTCTGGCCCAGAATAGTAAAGTCGTCGAGCTACACCATCAACCTGCCGAAGGCATGTTTATTTCTTCAGGTTGGGTTATGAACTCAAAAGCTCTATATTTTGGAGTTTAGGGTTTAGGGCTTGTAAAGTTTAGGGTTCCGGGTATAAACCCTAGACTATAACCCTAATCCCCTTAGGGTTGAAGCCAAGCTTGCAAAACGTGATGTTACAGGCTACTGAAGACTTAGGGTCAGGGTTCAGGGTTGAATCGCCGATTCCATGATAAAGCATGATTTTGGTTTCAGAGGTTGTGAATCTGATTTCTTGTCTGCGGGCCCAAGCGGCATTTGGCAACAGCCGGATGCGTTTGCTTGGCTCTTCCCACTTCCCTAGTGAGATCATCAACGTATACTATTCACAGAAACTTGGGGGGCGTAATGTCGGTAACTAAGAAGATGCAGACCATTTCAGTGAATTCGGTGCTGCTCCCAACTGTTCCCAAGCGTGATTGTTTCTTAATGTTGACCGTCAGCTCCCTATACATGCATTGACATTCTCAAGCTTGTAGTCTGCAGCAACTGAAAGCCTGAGGTGCGTGATCTTCACTTGGACATACCTCGAGCGCTTGTGGTGTGTGCATCTCGAGACGGTTTGGGCGGTCAGGAACAAGCAGTGAGGTTTTTTGCAAGATATTTAGCTTAGCGCTTAGGCATGCCTGTAGACCTCCCGAAGCCCAACCCCCTAAACACTAAACCCCTCAACCCCTCAACCCTAAAGCCCTAAAGACTAAACCTGGTGTCCGGAATCTCGTGCTCGAAGAGGCAGCCGGGAGTACAACAATTGGATCCAGGATGCAGACCCAGACCCCCGGGAGGATCCAAAAAGTAGAACCCCTAATTTGGGACCCTATACTACTAAAGGGTCTTTATACCCTAAACCCTAAACCCTAAACCCTTATAGGAACCCCCCATTAAGGCATCTACTTTCTAGATCCTCCCGGGGGTCTGGGGAATCAGGTGTGGCGACCTGGAGCTTTCCGGTTTAGGGTTTAGGGTTTAGGGTTTAGGGTTTAGGGTGGTTTGGGTTCCTATGCAGCCGCCAGGACCGCCACCGAAGACAGATTTTGCGGATGTTCCCGAGATGTCAGATACAGAGGCTTCAATGATTACCCTAATCTTGTTCCTTAGGGTTCTTTATTATTATATTAATACTATAAAGGAGCCCGAAACCCCATTCTAATTATTAAGGCCCCTACACTACAGAGGTGCCGGAAACACCGGCGCCAGACAGTGCCGAAGAGACTGATCAGGCCGATAAAATGCGCGAACCCGAGCGACCTTTGGTTGTTGTTTAGGTTTAGGCTTTAGGGTTTAGGGTTGAGGGTTTAGGGCGGGCTTTGGGTTTAGGGTTGGTTGTTCTGAGAACGGCAGCTACGGCACGAAGACGTGCCATGATTCAACGTACTCTCGGTGCACAAGGACTGCTGCCGGTTGCAAGCATTTTACGGTTTAGGGTTTCAAGGAGGCAGCTGCTTCGGAGTCCGAAGCCCCCAGCGAAGTTCCTAGCGATCCTCCTTAGCCATATGGCGAGCAATCGTTCTCACGGCCACAAGGATAGGGGAAGTGAGCTTTAGCTCAATGTTTATGTTTTTTAAATTTCAATTGCTGGAGCCCTAGATCACAAGGACCCTGAGCAGGCAGAGGGGAGGCTTTTATGCCCCTAATAAGAATCTGATAATGGGCTCATCTTGCCTACGTAAGGCAGCATTGTCCCCTACCGTCCCCCTCCTTCACCCCTCTAAGGCTTACAGTCCTTATGGCTAGCACTCCAGACGCGAGCATCCGTCTGACATGTTTTGGTTGCTGGGTTGGGCTGAAACAACCCTTAAGACCTAAACCCTAGACCCTAAACCCTAAGACGTAGCCATTTTGGCTCAAGCGACTACAATTGCCAAAGCTACAACACCCGAGCATCCGACCACACATCTCCTCGAACCGCTAAAGGACGTTTTCCTAAATGGAACGAAAAACTGGAGCACGCTGGTCCGATCTTTCCGAGGAAGAAGAGGCTGAAGGCCAAGCGGACGTGGCGCAGGCTTCCGTGGGGACCCAGCGACCGAGGAGACGGGCGCATCGATCCAACTTGGCTCCAGTTCTCGAGGAAACAGCCCTCCATTCCTCCGATGTGCGAACTCACTCTCTCGAAGAGCGGCCGACTTCCCAAAGGCGTGGAAGACAAGGGTCCATACTCACTCTTTCAGGGACGTTCACCGTCGAAGACGTTCGAAGGCTCAAGTCCGGAGTTGGGCCGGCTGACACAGTCCAGATCGAGAGTGTGTGCGAAAGTCTGCAAGTGTACCTCAACCGGTATGTCGAGGGCGAAAGTGAAGAATCGTCCACGATCGCATCTCTCCAGCCATCCTCTCACGATCGGGAGCATGATCGGAGGACAAGGACAGCTTCGGGTTCGGAAGTGACGGCTGGCCAAGACCGTGTTCAAAGCTCTGCACCTAAGCTTAGGGCGTCGGAGGCATATGATGCTCTTCCGTTATTCAAAGATGCGATTGGACTCTCGAGGTACGTGGTGGTCGAGTGCGGGAGCCGCTCTTCCAAACCAATCCGTACTGATGGAGGGGTCCTGAAGTTTGTTACTCAATCCGCTCTTTTCCCAAACACGACATTCCACGGAATCGACGGGCGAGTAATCCTCGAAGCAGCATCTTACCGAGTTCAACTGGCGCGGACAGACTACAGTTATGCAGCTTCAGGCATTACAGTGAGCCTTCGTTTCGACACGATGTTCAGCCCTCACTCAGGAGAAGACCATGCCCAGTGTGAGAGCATCATAAATGCTCGTCCCGGTAGGCACAAGGCTCTCTTGAGGATTGTTGCACTCGAGCACCTTGGCAGAAAGATTCCGAGGCCTGTAGAGTCGCCACTCTTGCAAAACTTTGCTCAGACGTTCAAGCTTCCTTTCCAAAAATCAGCATTTCGATTCCTCCAACGAGGCATATGCAGATCGGAGGTCCACGTGGGGTCCATCGCTGACAAGCTTACGATCTCATGGCTACAGCGCCAGTTGGAAACTGTGTACTCAGGCACATTGAATCCTGGGACTCTGATTGTGTACGACCGAGAGCATCGGATCCGTGGCGTGCTCACGTCAGGGGGCCTTGCATGGCACGACACTCCGGAGACTTGCCCTCTTTCAGTTCGGGTTTGTGGAGTCGGTGTGTCCCCGTGCCTCTTTGAGCTCTGTGCTCATCTCGGCGTGAGGAATTGCCACAGCTACAGGAATGCTAGTGAAGAAGCAACTTCGAGCACCCTTAGCATACCGCACCTCGTCCCTGATCTGAACGAGCCACTCTACAACCTCGTGCCTTGGTCAATTTACTTCCAAGAAGGTTTGTCCCCTCGGAGAGTAGCGACTCGATCTCTTCGGGAAAATCCATCAAAAGGAATGGGCCGAAGGAGTTCGGAATTCTCAATTTGAAAGCTCTTCTTTTCTTCTATTGATTTCTGGATTTGTACGTCGTGGAAAGAGGGCTTCTTTGTTTCGTTCTGCGTTGACACGGCGATTCTTGGAGAAAGGGGCATGAGTGGTCAATTACATAGAGGTTTTGCATTTATGTATTGTAATCATCTCAAGGGAGGCTCAAGCTGTTGAGTTGCCCACTAGGGTTCCCTGTTGCACTGTGCCTCGCGCTATGGAGTCCGTTCGGCAGCAGTCCAGTCCACGATGGATATTGCAAAACGCATTCATAAAAGTCGTTGATGATGCTTGTGATTCAGACGGACCTTCAGCCTACCTGATGCGTGCAAACTCTGACTCCGTCCTTCGCGAGGGCTACTCTAGGGGCCAGCCGCTGAGCAATCAGAGCGCGATATCAGTGGCGAGGCATCGGGAGAGTGTACGCATGCCTTTGACCGAAGATTCCGTGGAAATCCGAACTCGACAGCTGGCATGTTCTTCTGTGGCCACTTCTCTTGTGATCGCTGGCTGAGTATGTCTGACCTGGAATTTGGGCTGCACTTTTCTTTTCCAGCATTCAGTGCAAGGGTCATAGCCCCTCATGGACCAACCACTCCTATCTGAGTGAGACCCTGAGCCAATCTGAGCCGCTGTACAGATCGTAATCATTGAATTCCTTGCAACTTCAGATAACTACGAAATGTCCCGAAGTGTGAATTTGGTGCACGCACTGACTGATGCCGAAATTTCCCGAAGTGTGAATTAGGTGCACTCAACACATGCCGAAATGTCCCGAAACTTTAATTTGTTGCACCCAAAGTGAGGGCGTGCTGTGGATATGCCCTAACCGTCTGTAGAGCTTGCTCCGGATGTGCTGCTTGGGTGTTTTTTGCATGTCGGCCTATTGTAGAGCTCTGCTCCGATGGGTGTTGCGCTGCCAGGCTGAAGGGGTGTCACTTGCTAGTCCAGGTTGGAGGGTTTGGGGCGCCGATGCAGCAGGCAACTGCCTCCGCCAAATTGGCATTCGACCTAACTTAACCAGGCAGGTGGAAAAGAGGTGACAAAAAAAAAACCCTAAGACCTAAACCCTAAACCCTAGACCCTAAACCCTAAACCTTAGACCCTGAACCCTAAGACCTAAACCCTAAATCCTAAACCCTGAACCCCAAACCCTCAACCCCCGAGGAAACCCATGAACCGCAGACCCCAAGCTTACCCAAGGCCTATGGGCCCATGCGCCTGCGATAGCATTGCATCAGATTGCTGTAATGTAGGGGCTTAGGGTTTAGGGTTTAGGGCTTAGGGCTTAAATAATTACCTATACTATTTTGCGGATTATTATAAGCATAGTATAATATTACCCCAAAAGCCTAGTCTAATTATGAAGGCCCCCAGTTACACTATTGGCTTGTGCAGGGCTCTTCGGGTTTACTAAACCCTCAAGATTTATAAAAGTTAGGCTTTAGGGTTTAGGGTTTCCTAAACCCTAAACCCTGAAGGTCTACAAACAAATAGGGTGTCTATTCTCTGTTTGCTTCATAGCGGTTCCCAAACAATCACTGCAGGAAAGATGGGGTTTAGGGTTTAGGGCTTGGGATTTAGGGTTTAGGGTTGAGGGCTTTGGGTTTAAAGTAGGGTTTAGGATTTAGGGCTTAGGGTTTAGGGTTTAGTAGGGTCCTTGACTTCTCCGAGCGAGGTTCAAGCTGTTAGCATGCAGAGACTGAGCTCGCCCACCGAAACCAAGAACTGCAAACACAAAACGCCCAACCCTAAGACCTAAACCCTAGACCCTAAACCCGAAACCGCAAACCCTTCAACCCCTGCTTCAAAGACATGGGCCCTCACCTGCAAAGTGAAATTGAGCTGCAGAGGGAAAGCCTTTTGGTACAGGGCTTCGTTCATGTCCACAAAGACATATCACTTGGACCGTGCCTGAGTAAATACTGCGGTAGGACGAAAGTTCNNTATGTCGCTCTTGAACAGGACACAAACCCGTTTTCCCCGGAACATGGTAGTAGTATTGATTTTATTCCGGTGGATTACTGTAATTCCTCCGCCAGCCAGGCCACGTAAAATGCACTTCCAAGTACTCCGCGTCCTCCGCAAGATGGTCTAATAATATAAAGTGCGACGATACTTTGTTCCTGGTGATGTAGGAACCCTATTCCACTGTGCCATCTCTTTGCGGTTACCCTAAACCCTAAACCTTAGACCCCAAACCCTAAACCTTAAACCCCAAACCCTAAACCCTAAACCCTAAACCTTCAACCACAAACCCTAAACCCTAAACCCTAAACTCTAAGCCCTAACCCTAAAACCTAACCCTAAAACCTAAACCCTAAACCCTAAACCCTAACCGCTCCACTGTGCCATCCCTTCGGGCGAAAGCCAAGGTATGAATGGGCCTGCGCCTCTCAGACTTCTCTGGCTCTCGTCTTTAGGGTTTAGGGTTCAGGGTTTAGGGTTTAGGGTTTAGGGTTTAGGATTTAGGGTCCAGGGTTTAGGGTTTAGGGTTCAGGGTTTAGGGTTTAGGGACGCCCCGGTTTGGGCTACTGACGGTTCGGGTTTAGGGTTTCGGCTTAAGCACATTTGAAGTTTGAGTGGTTCTTACTGAAGATATAGAGCCCAGTTTTGAGAAAGCGGGGGTCTGTTCACAACGGCAGCTAGTATAGTTGTAGTATAAGATTAGAATAGGGTTTGGGGGCATATTATACTATAGTTATTATAAGAACCGAACCTGCAAAACCCTATTCTAATTATTAGGGCCCCTACATTATAGTAGAAGCTGCCTGGCAACCCCTTCCATCGTCGATGCCCCTCGAAAGAGCCAGTCATGCCTAGTGGTTCTATTGCTGAAGGCCAAACCCTGCATCCTTTGTAGCGAGGCAAACCGCACAATTTTCATAGTTTAGGGCTAGCTTACTCAGAGTCCGAAACCGTGAAAACTATCCCAATCTTAGTACCGTCTAGTCTACTAGCTATCGCCTTCCCTAAACATCTGTGGTTGACGAGTCTGAGCTCATGAAGATGCCCGACAGTCCTTGCACCCACTGGCCTAAACCCTAAACCCACTGGGCCAAACAATTGGTGGAGCCTCTGGAGAATGGTAGAATGCGGGCCGATCTGGGATGTCGAGGGCTGCGCCTCGCCGCCGGGGCCTAGAATCCACTAAAAGCCCATAGGCCCCATAGTAGAGTTCCTTTGGGGGTTACCTTATAGGATTCTATGTATGAACCCCAAAAAGGAACTACTGTAGGGCCTGTGGGAAGCTTGATTTTCGCCTTCATAAGACATTTCGGGCCGGTCCCGCCCGGCATAGATTACAGGGTTGCCTCAACACTATCTGTAAAGACCCTAAACCCTAAACCCCTTCTAGTACCAATATAGAACCTTCATTCACAGCACCCTTATGGAACCCTTGCTGTTTCCTCACAGACCCCTGGGAGCCTAATGAATGGGTATTGAGCTAGCTCTCAGCCCCAAGCCCGAAACCCCCAAAGTCACCAAAGTTTACAATCCTAAGCCCCACACCCTAAACCCTAAACCCCCCACACAATAAACCCTGAATCCTAGACTCCTAAATCCCCGAGCTTGGCCCGAAGGCCCGAAACACTTGCTGAGGTTCTCGTGTCCAAGCCGCCTCACAAGGTACGCGCACCGGGGGCTTTAACAAAAGAAGTTGAGGGTTTAGGGTTTAGGCTTCATGTGTGTACAAGGTTGTAGATGGTCTTGACAGTCTAGGAGTTCCGGAAAAATGCATCCGGTGGGACAGCATCAGCGGCCATGTTGCCAAAGACACTGTGATGTGGTTGACACCCTAGCTTACTGGTGGCGGTCGCAAGATTCGCAAGGGACATCCAGAAGGGTGCGACCATCAACAGAAGTCACCAAGCTAGCTGAATCTGCACTCCCCATCGCAAGCAGGTCACGACGACTGAAACTTGGGACATTGATCTTTGATCTGAAGATAAAGCCTAAACCTATAGTAGTATCCTTATGTTAAAAACCCCAATCCTAAAAGCTTAAATTTTCTTACAGGTCTATTTGGTTGCATTTGAGTCTCGAAGGGTGTTTCTTTTTGTGTGTGTGTGTGTGTGTGTGTTCGTTTGTGTTTTGTTTCAGGGGCTTGTAGCCTCCTAAGTGGTGTATGTACGCTTTGTGGTTCAGGATGGTCGTAGCCAAGGTGTTAGGTTTTTTTACAAAATGCTCTTACAGCGACATGGGTTGTTATTACAGCTTCGTATGTGGTTTTGCAAAGATGTACAGGCAGGATTCTGCAGTGTCTCGGCATTCTCCGGCAGACAGCCGCTTCGGCCACGCGTACTCACTGAACCATATGCGGGTTCCTACCGTTTTCAGGTCTATTCCGAACTAAGGGATCTTGGAAGGTCTGGCTACCGATCAGGAAAGACTCGTTTCTGCTGGAAGTTCTTTAGAACCGATATTATCAGAATTTGTCTTACGACGAAGGATACGAGGAGATAAAAGCATACATAAACTTCTACAGCCCTACAAACTATCCTTGATAAACCTGCAGGGTTTACTCTAAAACCTGAACCCTGAATGACCCCAGCCCCAAACCGTTTTAGGTCCAGTTTGGTGTCTTGTCTTGGTTTGGTCGTCACGGATACGTCTCCTATTAAAAGCCCGACTTCGGAACTACTTCGCTGCCAGTTTGGACTTTGCTCTAACTTAGAGTCCCTTTTAGGGTGAAGGGTGCCGTACTATTCGGGGAACCTATCAAGGGACCCTAATTAGAGAACTACCCGTGTGCTGGTCCATATACACGTTTGACCACTGTTTGATGTAGGAACTTGGTTTAATTAGCTTGCGTTTGTCTTCTACCCCACTGCAAACAAGACAAGCAACCTCCGCGAGCAAGACATGCCACCAGAGCAGCAAGATCTATATTGTGTGGGTGGTTGGCTGGGCCATGTGCTTATATGAACCCCTATGGGTAGTTCTCTAAAGAATTCGGAGAACTACCCCAAAACAGCTCCTGAACGGAAGAAAATCCCAGTCCCTGAGAAACCTCAGGCTTCCGCGTTAAATCATCCCCAAGCACGCTTTAATGGGTACTGTTATGGGGGGTACTTCCCCAAATCATAATTGCGAGTCAGAATATAGAAGCCCCACATTCTACTACATATGTACATAGGACCCCCTGACAAGCCCTTATTGTCGTTAATAGTGCGTGTTTAGATTCTATTGTGGGGTAGTTGGTGGGTCTGTGCAAACGCAATGCACTAAATCTCCGTGCAGGTCTTCCTTCAGACGGAGCTCTTCGTGAAAGAGGAGACGCTGCCCCTGCCACCTTGACTACATGACTATGTAGCGGATAGAGGCTGCAGGATTTGAGGGTTTCGGGTTTGTTACAGTTTGGTGTCTGCTTAAAGAACGGATCATGAGATGCAGTATAGTACATAGCTCGTGGCACAATCCGTTTCATAGTTGGGGACTACATTGTTTCTCCCATGTACGAAGTGCCACTTTCACACAGCTTCGTTTTGCGATGCCCGTGTGTTTATTGTCTTGAACTCGTGTTGGCTGATGTCTTGACCGATGGCTCGAAACTTATTTATATGTTTTAGTATATTATATATGAGCATCTGGGGCTGAGAACAGAAGCAGTTGGTTTGAAAGGCTTTGCCGGTCTCGAAGCTTAATGCCTATGTAGGTATCAGCAACGAAAACATAGCGAAGTGCACTACAGCTACCTTAGTTACAAGCAACTTATAAGTATCGTTGGGCCTGCACGCAAGTCATAGCAGCTTCCAGGATTTGGCAGCTTTCAGAGAGCGGATATTACGATGCAGAGTATCATCATCATCATCATCATCATCATCTGCAGCACCACCACCACAATCACCATCATCGTCATCGCTACTCTCTATAATTTGTCTGTTTCTATTTTATGTTGATTTTTGTTTCGTCCCGTGCTCCTCCGAGGTACCTTGATGCAGTGCGTCACTTTTCGCTCAAACAGACCAAATGCATCTCGCCTGCATCTGTTCGATGTGGGTAGTTCTCTAAATTACGGTCCCTGTTTAGGGGTTCCTTGAAGGGATCTAAAAGGGTTTCTATCGGGGTACTGTAACGGTTCTATATATGTAGTTCTCTAAACTAGGGTCCCTTTTTCGATCCCGAATGTAGTACGGCACCCTTACATCGCAGTATAAAAAGGACCCTAAAGGGGACCCTAATTGAGAGAACTACCCATGTGTGGGCTCGCAAATTGTGCGTGACCCCATGCGCTCAGAGCATGAATCGTACTTAATCCCTATAAACCCTAAACCGTGCTTTGGGGAGTATATAATTATGCGTTCACATGGTGGCTCGGGCTGGCGGGGTGCTTCAGGCAAGTGACCCAGTGATCACAAACCACCAGGAGTCCCCAGAGCCCGATAACAGCATAAGACAGGGGCCTCAACAATCAGAATAGGGTTTGGGGTATATTCTACTTCAGTTATAGTAAGGAGCCCCCCCCCCCCAACAAAAAACAAAAAAAAAACTATTCTAATTCATAGGCCCGCCCCTACGTTATGTCTGCAGCCTGAAGCCTCCGAACCCTAACCTCCCCTCCTTGCAGGCTTCAACATTGACATGTTTGCGCCATAAGGGTGGTAATGTAGGGGCCTTAATACTTAGAATAGGGTTTGGGGTATATTATGCTATAATTACAATATGGAACTCCCAAAATAGTATAGGCAATTGTTCAGGCTCGTACAGTAGATAGATCTTGCAACTTAGGGATTTGAGCTCAATGGGTGTAAGCTTTTAGGGTCTCCGGGGTTCGCAGACTTCGGAAGCCCTCAGCGCTAAACCTGGAACCCCTGAGCCTTAAACCGAAACCCCAAGTCGGTTTAGGGTTTAGGTTTTGGGGTTTAGGGTTTAGGATTTAGGGGGAGCCCTTGAACCTTAAACCGAAACCCCAAGTCCTGCTTAAGCCTCCGAGCCCAAAAACCCTAAGCCCTTAACCCTTAACCCTAAATGCTCAACCGATCCAGGCTTTGCCGAGGAGGACCGGAAAGTGCTCGAGGCCAGCTGGTGGGGAAGAGCAATTTAGGGATTCTGCGTTTCATTCTTACAGGATTTAGGGCTTAGGGGTTTTTAGGCTTGCGTAAAAGGCTTCTTCGGGGCTGGAAAAGGGTTTGAGGCTTTCTCAGGGCATAAAACGCGCCTGTTAGGCTACCAGGACTTCCTAAACGGAGGCTTTTCTTCTAGGCTGTAGGTTTTGATTTTATAAGGTCGTCTCAGGGTTTCAGCTCCCTGAAGTCCTGTAGGACTGTTTGGGGACTTGCAGGGCTTCACTAGATGCTGTAAGGTCTAATGGGCGTTTTTTTGTCCGGTAAGGCCTAAAAGTTTGTTTTGGTCTGTGGATGCTTTTGAATTGTTTTTGACAGAAGCGTGAAGGGTTATTGGGCTGGTGTTGTGTTCTACCTAGACCGTTCAAAGTAGTTCCTTGCTTGGCTGCGTTCCATATGACAAGAAAATCATAAGGTAACCGACGGTAACCCAAAACCCTGAACCCCTAAACCCCTAAACCCTAAATCCCTAAACCCTAAACCGAGGTAGTAGTGATCCATCTGAGCCCTTGACCATCCGCATCCCTGAACTAGACCTGCTGGCTGAGACTTGTTCTTGCCCGGACACAATACTAGGTTCCTGAGTAGTGCTCTTATTAAAACCGAATATTTGGAGAAAGGGTACCCTTACTATTATGGGGTCCTCGGTATGTGGGATCGTAGTTATGTAGGGGACCCTTAGCATCAACATAGCCCAGAAAAGCCTCCTTCAATAGGGTCTTTGTCTTTGGGCCCAAAAGCCTTAAAAACTATGAGTCCTTTGAGGCTAAAGGGAGTTTAGGAAGACGCTTGTCATTTGTGTCCTTGCCATGTCGATGGCGTGAGCTGGGGTTCTGGGATTGGCATGAGTTGGGCTTTCGCGCACTCCGGGCTGCTTCTAAGCTAGCTCGCAAAGGGTAGATTGCAGGGCGGCGGCATCGTACCAGGCTGAATGAGTTTTGCAGGGTTTGCATGGTGTTCGAGTAGCATTTTGTAGCACGCTACAGTCGGCCATCTGGAGACTACGGTGCTTGAAGTGTTGAGGGCTTGGCGGCCAGCGACTTCATATTGAGGGGTTCTGACTTAATTGAAAGCATTCTAAACCCTAAGCCCTAAACCCCCGGCTCCTCTGGAAGGCCAAAATTGATGCGGACTATGTGTCAACGGAAGCCTTCGAAACCTTGGTACAGGCCCAGCACAGCAGGGCCGAATGGCGTCCAGGCATATATAGCTCCTAGTAAGCAGTATATAGCATCCTTTAAACAATTTTATCAGCCTTACCTGGACCCCAACTATATAGAAAAATGGCATGTTCGAAGCCTTACATAGGCCATTATTGTGCCTACTCTTGGGGGTTTAGGTAAGCCCTGCCCTAGAACCCTAAACCCTAAGCCCATAAGCCCTAAACCCAAAATTCGAAGCGCGACGGGCAGAGTCAGAGCCTAGCTCTGGCTGTCATCTTCTTAGTAGTAGAGTCGGTAAGTGTTTACCCCTTTTGGGGAGTTTAGGGCTAAGGGTTTAGGGTTTAGGGTGTAGGGTTTAGGTTGTATAATCCCGAAATAATCAAAGAGCTAAACCATTAGTGCCCGAGGATACTGGACAAGTAGGTTTTGTGTTTTGACCTCAAGTTTCATGGCCTCAATCAGCTGCATATAGCCTTTATTGTAGTTCTTGCTGTTGCTTGACCAGTTTTCCTATAAGGTCACCCCAAAAGGAATTACAATGGAGGACATAGGTAGGGTCCCAGAGACGTCTCATGAGATTTGGGATTCTTCTTTGTGCATGAGCTTGCGGTTTGGGGCTCCGGGTCGAGTCTTTGGGTTTGGGAAGTTTCCGTGTTAATGTAGGGGCCTTAATAATTAGAATAGGGTTTTCGGGGGGTTCCTTATTATAGTTATAGTATAATGTACCCCCAAACCCTATTCTACTTATTAAGGCCCCTGTCTTATAGGGGTGTGTTTCCTGGCAAAGTGTTCAGTGTTCCAAACATGGGAGAGGCCGAATCTTGTAGCAGCTGATCGCTTTTGTCAGGAAGAATGCCTTAAATTACAGTGGGATCTCTAATAATATGAGTGATAGGTAGATTCCTTAATTAAGGGATCTTGGAAGGTCTGGGGGCCCTGGACGGTAGGACCTCTTGGGCAGATTCCCCTGATCTTCAGACCCCCCCCCTCCCTCCCGGCATGCACCAGCAACGCTGCCAGGTTTTTGGTTTCCACTGTGGATGTTAGTTTACTGTTTCATGTTTTTGGGGGCTAGGTTGACCGTATTCCGCGTGTGTTCGTGTGTGTGTGTGTGCGCGTGCTCGTGTGCCTAAAACCCTAAACTCTAAACCCTAAAACCCTAGAGCCCTAGACCCTAAACCCGAAAAGCCTACATGAAAAGCCTCAAGCAGAAGTCCCAAAGCCATCCAATTTTCGTATGAGATGCAGGCCACGGTGGTGGCGCTCATGGCCCGCAGCAATCCGTCTCATTATGCGTTTGTTTTGTTCTTTAATTTGTGTTTTTTGGGGTCTGGGTCTGTAACATATAATGTAGGTGCCAAAAGAAATTACCAATACTATTTTGGGGGTTCGTGTTATGACTTAGTAAGAACAAACACCAAAACCCTATTCTAATTATTAAGGCCCTATATGAACCCTAATCCACTGCAGCCTAAACCTTTTTGGGGTTTCATGGCTGTCGGGATCTGGACCTCACGGTACGTGCTACACTGCAACAGCATGCGATGTCTCAAAGAGTCGGATCTTCCAATATCCCTTTATTTAGGGTTTAGGGTTTAGGGTTTAGGGTTCAAGAAGGAACTCCTAGTAGGATCCCGAATATGAACGAATTAACATGTACCTTTAGCATCATAGTGGCCCGAAACCTTATATACTATAGGGTCTTTGGGCCCAAAAGCCTTAACATCTGAGTCCTTTGAGGGTTAGGGATTAATTAAGGAGTATTCCTCAAGTACGTATATTGGGGACTGCAAGAGTTTCTTGCAGGCGCCCGGCGAAAACAGAGTTGGGATTGAGGTTCCATGTTGCTCCAGTACCTGGTGGCGGAGATCGTCACCCGAGTGACCACCTTTGGGGGCGACAAGGACGCTCAGGCCAAAGCGCAGGAAATGGGGTGGGTGACGAGTGACTTGGAGTACAACTTCCTGGACTGGGATGCGGAAGAGCAAAAACTCATTCCAAGGCAGGAGGGGACGCTCACACAGGACCAGGTCCTGGCAGATGCTCGACGTCTCCAAGAGCATCCTGAAGACGCCGGAGCTGATCCTCAGGGCCCTGCAGGGAACCTTAGCAGCCGCGACAGGCTTTCGATTCCAGCCAAAGGCAGCCATGACCCCGAAAAAATAACCGATACTGGAGGCCTAGAGGTAGTAGTAGTAGTAGTAGTAGTAGTAGCAGTAGTAGCAGTAGTAGTAGTAGTAGTAGTAGTAGTGGTGGTGGTGGGGGTG